GCCTTTTGATTTGCTTTACTCACCCTCTATTCCTTATTTACTTTTCCTAAGCTCTTTAGTTGTAGATTTCCATTGAGGTTTGATGCTTTAGGAGGCTTTTGGATGGAGATTTCTATTAAAACTTTGTAGATTTCCATTGAGATTTGATGCTTTTGGAGGCTTTTGGATGGAGATTTCTATTAGAAAAGTTGAGATTTCCATTGAGATTTGATGCTTTTGGAGGCTTTTGGATGGAGATTTCTATTAAGAAATTTGAGATGTCCTTTTAATTTAATATTGCCAGAGGTCTTCAAACTTAGGAATTTTAATTTCCTTTTAATTTAATATTGCCAGAGGTCTTCAAAGTTAGGAATTCTTATTTCCTTTTAATTTAATATTGCGAGAGTAGCTCCAGAGGTAGCTAGCTAAGGATTCCTTATTTAATTATCAACTGATTGATTTTCATATACATTATTTTGGAGGCCTTGGTTGTTGAGGGGGGGGGGGTTTATAAATCAAGGGACTACATTAAGCCCTCATGAGATTCATGAAAACCTAATAGCCTCCAACCTAATAGCAATGGCCTCCAACCTAAGAGCGTTGGCCTATAGCAATGGCCTCCAACCCAAGAGCGATGGCCTCCAACCTAGAAGCGATGGCCTCCAACCTAAGAGCGATGGCCTCCAACCTAGAAGCGATGGCCTCCACCCTACTCTCAAGTTGTTGGCAGGTACAATTTCAGTGGGTAAGTCTCCTGTGGCAAGACCCTGGAGCCTTCACGGTGGGCAAAAAGCACCGATCAAGTGGGCAGGGAATGAATGAAGGACAATGTCATCCAATATACCCTCCCTCCAACAAACATGGAAGTGGACCCCCCCCGGGTTGTAGAGGACAATGGCCTTTTCCAGGGGACCATGCCATCCACTTGCATGACTCTTTTCGGGAGGGTAGAGACTCGGTAGAGATAGAGATATTGGCTTGGGGTCCAGCCACCCTCGTTCCAGCCACGCGAGCTGCAACCAGTCAGGATCAAAAGACCGGACCAGATCGGACTCGTTCCGCAGATCGTGCTCCAAGAGCCGTCTGATCTCCAGGTCTCCGACCGCCAGGTCCAGTCTGGTGCCGAACACCTCATGTTCGTTGTGTGTGTTTTTTACCTTTTTCCGATGATCAACTCATCAATTTCAGGTCCAACTGACCTGTAGGGTACTCCGCCTGCGAAACCCTAATTCGCCGTGCTCACCACGGCCTCCGGAACGGTTTTCTCGGCCCGGTCCTCCCCAGCGGACAGGGTGGTCCCCCCCCGGCGTCGAGTCCGGCGCCGCTCTCTCTGGTCCAGGTGAGTGCCTTTCTCTTGTCGCTTCCCTTGGGAGTCTTTCTTTGCACCATGGTGATCTCCTATCATGGAGTTCTTCTTTCAACCGACGTCGATAGCTTATATTGCGCACCTCGGCTCTAAGAGTTCGAAGGGGGGGAGGAGTCCGGGAGGAGGGTGAGCCACTGCAAGTGGTGCGCCCCAAATGCGCCACAGCGGATCTTCTGTGGCCTTATGAAGCACCCTCCAAGCCTGTGGCCTCCCATCAAGAGGAGGGCTTTGCATGCCATGGCTTCTTGACTTTTGCCATGTTTTCTTTGGTTCTTTTGCTGAGCTCACAAAGGATCTACTGTACTCAGTGAGACTTCCCATGTTTCAGAAGCTGAAAGCAACTCTTGTGTCGTCTCTCCTTTTTGTTGTAGCGCCCAGTCACTAAGTAGAGACCGGGGAGATGTTCTCCACGGAGATGGGATTATGTCTTTATAGATCTTTGCCTACAGGTCCGTTGGAAATTCAGTGGAGTTGGTCATACAAAAAACACTATTCACTTCTGCCTTGTTACGAACCGTAGCGATGCCAGGAGCCCCGAAGGTATCGTAGCGTGCTTGCTTCGCTCCGTTCGTAGTAAGGCCAGGAGCCCCGTTCGTAGCTTCTGGTTACTACTCACTATACTCCATTGATGAGGTTTTCAGGGTCGTTGGTTCTTACCGAGTCCTCGGACCGGAGTCCGGATGGGTAGTCCTGTTATTCACGTTCTGCATCGATTCGCAGAGGGAGTGCTTCTGGGTTTTCAGCACCGTAGCATACAGAATGAGTGGTCAAGGATGAAGCGCTCAGCGCTCAGCGCTTCACACTACCCATCAAGTAGGTCACTGGAGGAGGATGGGCGGTCTTGAGTCGGGGTCGATCGGCCCGGGCGGTCGCTCGGTCGATCGGCCCGGGCTGTCGCTCTCACCGACAGGTGAGGGAAACCACCGCACTGCAAGGTTCGGAAGATAGACCAGTCTACCAGGACCTTCAGTTCGTGACCTCTTCTGTTCGTCTGTGAACTGTCTGCTTCTGCGCTTCTGCTTCAGGGACGAGCACTTTCTGACCTCCACTGGGATCTCTAGGTCACGAACTGAAGGTGGTACCCATATGTTGGGAGGGTTTCTCCTATACAAATAAGACACCCATATAGATTCCAACATTCTTTTAAAGATCAGTGAATCACCTGCAAAACCTTTTCTGGCTACAAGAACAGGTGCAGTTCGTTCGGTGAATCGTTTTTTGCGTGACATGGAGCCAATTCGCCGAGCTGCAGCGATATCTCTACCACCCTCACCCAGAAGAAAAACGGATTCCCCTGGAAACAGATCCTGGCCCCAGATCGGCTGGACAAAAACAGTGTTCAAACACCACCACCACCAAGCTTCGCAGCTCGGGCAGAAGCACTCGGCAGCTTGGCCATGTCGGGTGAAGGAGACCCGCATGGATGGCCTGACCGGTGGAATTGATGGGAAAATGGAGGTCCTCACAACCCCTCCTGCGGTCGTACCTGGCATGTGGTCCCTCTCTTTTTGGATCCCACGGAGACTGGGTCGACCACGGGTTCGAAGCGGTCCTCCGCGGGGTTTCGACCCAGCGAGGCCATCCCCTTTGCCTTTTGGATCTTTGTACTGGGCAGCATTTGGAGACCGTGGCATCGCCTTTGCTTCTCCAGATCGACGAGACCCGGCGCGAATACCGGGGCATGGAACATCCAGGCGGGCATGGGCAGACGGTTGTACTGCGGGGCAGACGGTTCCAGCCGGATATGGTGTGGTCGCGACCCGTTTACATTTTTAAAGGGATGGCGGTGTTTTAGGCTGTAAAGCGTGGATGAAAACACAGAGGACAAAGATTAAGGAAGGATGAGTCGGGGTATGGGTTACTCTCCTGCTGATGAACATGGCCCCCCAAAACCACTGGGTTGGTCTTCGGAAATTGGTCTTCCACCACGGGTGGGTGATTGGTCAGGGTCCTTGGGATTGTTTGCGTCAACCCAAGCACTTAATAGAACTCATATATGGTGGGCCAATGGATTCAACAGAGACGGATTTCTCATGCCTTTTTTTTGCCATTCGCGGATGTCGCTGGGTTCGGGGAATTTGTCGACGGTTTTTAGAACGTTCATCCAGATGGAGCAGCAGGTAGGAGCGTTTCGTGTCGCTTCGGTTTTCGCTTTAGAGGGTTCTTTCTGGGCCAGCTGAGCATTTGGATGTGTATCTTCTTGGCCAAGACCCCCAACCCTTGGGTAGACTGAAGACTGGCCTATACCGAACCATCCGAACCTCCCGAACGGGGGGGGTCGGAACGCCTGGGAGATCTCCCTATATCACAGGTAGGTCTGGTGGGCTGGTCCACAAACCGCTGGCGATTGGTTTGCTCATCTTTGGGGGAAAAAATGGCAGCATCCGTGACGGAGCCAGATGTCATGCTCTTGCATCCGTGGTCTTGCATCCTCAAGCATCAAACCAAAGGCATGGATCCACAACAATTGATTTCTTCAAGCAGGAGAGGACACACAAGTCTGCTTCTTGCCGCCCGGTGATACGGTCGCCATCCTCCGCCCTCCGTGCCCAGGAAGACGTATGAGACATGCCCAGCCTGATCGAATGGATTGAGACGGCTGGTGGAATGTCAGAGACGGCCTCCCAATCGAAGGTCGGAATTTCCCTGAAGAGAGAGAGAGAGAGAGACATTTCTCCCAGGTGGTGGGGGCGTCTGGTAAACATGGAACCCTATAGGGATCTGTTTTCGTACCTTCTCCTCAGGTTCGGTACGACTGGACCCGACCCTGACACCCGACCCTGTCTCAGTGTCTCCTTCCTCACTGTACCTGAGAGGGTGGCAGTGGATCCCTAGCTACTAAGTGAAGTAAGTGAACCAACCCCTACAAGTCAAAGACCTCATTTTACTGGGGATTGTCATACAAAACCAATACTTAAGGAGGTAAAAGACCAGGTTTTACTGGGTCTTTGGACTTGTAGGGAACCATTTCAGATTCTTTGGGCGGCCAACATGTCGCTGTCGGGGATCCGTTGGACCTGGATAGACATACGTCGTAGAGCGTAGAGATCGATCACATACGTCGCGTCGGTGATGAAAACGTCGTTAGTAGAGGGCGCGTTTCCCACTTGGAGCACATGAACTGAACTGCAGAAACGGAACATGAAAGAACATGTGAAGCCCAGACGCGACCCATGGGACTGCCAGTCCGGACTGCCTTCAAAACGGCCGTTGGGGTGGTGCCAGGGGGGTCTGGCTTGATCGGCAGTCCGAATTGGCAGTCCCATGGAGCTGGGAAGCTTTCTTTGGGTCTCCGACCGGTCGACTCCGGTCGATACACGTAGACTGCTCTCCCAACGTAGTGCTGGATGTGCTGGGAAGTCCCCCGAGAAACGTTCAGTTTGGGCCCAGACGCCCACCGACGGACGGATGGCGATGGCGCAGAAGGGTGGATCGGTTTGGTCGGTTTGGTCAAGCACACACCCCTCTTGCACACTGGTGGTTTTCTCAGCAGATATTATGGCCTACATGACTGGTGGTTTTTTGGGTGGTGAATGTAGGTCTCCAGGTCATATTTGCTTACATATGGATCGTTTGGGATGTAGGTATATGGTACCTGGCATGGACTCCCCCCCCTGCTATTCCCGAAAGGACATGAGAGGAGCCAGGACGGGCGAACATTTCAGGGGATACACCTGGGCTTCCCCAGTCCCAACCAGTCCAACCAGGAATAGTTCTGGTTGTTCCGGCCATGTCCAGAGATCCTTGGTGGCCTGGGGAATGGCTGGGACTGGTGAGTTCCATCCATTGCTTTCTGCTTGGGACTGGGGAAACCCAGGTGTAGACCCCTCCCTCTCTCCAGTTCGCAGAGCGAGGTCAGGGAGCAGGCAACAAAAAACGGGAACGGAGGTGAAGAAGCCTGGTAGACCTGGAACTTCCAACTATGCAACATGTCTGCCTAACTTGGCTTGTTTTATATAAACATGCATCAATTTTGATGTTCTTTCCACTTTGCCACACATGGTGATCGTTTTTCAGTGGAACAAACACCAAATTCCGACAAAGAATTCCACCAGTCGCAGCACGGCCTGAGCCAAGAGCCTCAACTTTCGCCGTGTTTTCGATGTTTTTGGCACCTCGAAATTCTTCTCCGTCCTTTTTTTCGTGGTTTCCGCTTCGTCCACCCTGCTGGGCCGAGGCTGGCTCAAAAAGGTCAGATGGAAAGCCTTTTGCCAACCCGGTGGCCGCTATACTAGTAACAAGGGGATCATGTCCCAACATGGTCCCGACATTCAAAGAGGTGGTGAACACCATTTCCATGATGTTTTCGAGTGTATCGCGTGTTACAAGGAATCAGCTACAATGGCTCAAAGGTAGCGTTCACCCCAAAATGGCCAGCCGTGCAGTCACTGTGCCGTGCCGTAATCACGAACGTGCACGTGCACCACTGGAACCGAGACACACAATCCACCAACTGGTGCAGATCCTTCCCTTTGGGTCACCAGGGAGGCCCTATTGGACAGCTTGGGAGGCACCAGGGAGGCAGAATACACCCAGCATGCTAAGGCTTCACAGTCCGATCTTTGGTTGAGCCAGTCGGACGTCCAGCTGTGCGCCGCGTGCGCCGGCTTCCGGCCGCGCGGATCGGAGGGGGCTGTGCGGATCGGTGGAGACACCCGTTGAAGATCCGTTCCTTTTGTAGTAGGCAACCATGAGTGTCAACCCAGGAGTGAAGAGTCCCTGCGCTTCCAAGCAGCCCACCATTGTTTTTACTGTGAAGAAACATGGACCACATGGATGTGTTCTTTCCGATGGGACCGTGGTTCCCTAGAAGTGGGGTTTGGGTGTCTTAGAGTCAAACAACGAGCAGGCAATATGGTTATCGGGCCTGACCGGCGATAGGGACTTTTGACTGAAGAAATAGATGGAGTTTCGTGTCGGGGTGCTTGCTATCCATGGAGGTAGTCCAGGTGCACCGCGACTATGGATGAAAAGGCAGACGTTTTGCACCATTGGAATCATCCAGGTCTTGTGTCATACGGCTGTCCGACGCCGTGTACGCGACGTTTTTGTGTTCGATGTACCGTATCTCAAAAGCTCACGTACCGATCATTGTACTCCTGGTCAACGAGGGCCCTCCCAGTTTTGATCCACAGCATCATCTTCCCTCAGCCAGACTCGATGTCAGCGTATTGCTTCGATGCCCGGGACCCCTCGCTATTCAGCCCCTACATTGCCCCGGGTGCAGATCTGGGCGATGTCGTCGTTTCAGAAGAGAAGAACCCAACCGTGGGCTGAGTTACACCAAGAACCATGGTGGACACCTGGAATGGTATCTCTGTTAGAAAAGGTGACTGAGAACTGGGACTGAAGCCCATATGGCCCAGATAGTATGAGCTGGAGGTCGTATAGATCCCGTATGAAAGCTTGTAGAGACTAGTGGGTTTCGAAAGCGCTAAGTAGTCGATCTGCAGGTGTTCACCAAGGCTCACTGCCATGTTGTCGATTTCTGCGTCGACCTCTACTGTTGGGCAACTCTCGGACAACGAGTGAAATTGATCGGAGAACGAGCATCGAATGCCCTGTGCTTGACAGTCATCAGGGGAGCTTTGCTCCAGGTTTCAGACAGACTGCTGAAGGCAGAATTCTCCAGGAAGCTGTTTGAAGTGTATATTCCAGGATTCCAGGAGTCACAAAGGCCCGGGGCGCCGAACGAACGGAGGATAGGGTTGCCCCTGTCACATCCACTGACTGGATGGGACGAACAAAACCACCCCAACAAGTGACTTCAGATCGTTGAAGTCCGTTTTTTTCTTAAGAACTGGTGTGGGTAGTGCAGTTCTCGTCTTCTTGTCTTTTTGTCTTCTTCTTTCAAAACTGATGAGTCACATTGCCTCCCTTAAGTAGGGGTTTGCCACTCTTACTACATCTTACTACTATAGATCCTTTGCTCAAATCCCAAGTTCTTTTCTGGACAACTGTTAGATATTAATCACTTAGAAAGACTGCTGACTGCCTTCTTTTCACGTTCTTCCCACCCTTTGAAATCCACCACGACTCCATTTGGTCTACTAGGATCACTCCCACCCCAAAAGTACTTGGACAAAGGTAACCCTCCAACACGTTGGACCAACTGGGTGAACAATCAACCCATCTGGTTTCAGAGCGGTCTGATTTCGTCTGCCCGACTTTACGGCTTTTCAGTAAGTGAGACCCCATAGACCCTTCAATAGAGCCCGCCTTTTGAGATTAAGAGGATTGATATTCAGACCGGTTCAACCGGTGTCAAAGGGCAGAAACCCTTCGGGAACATGCAGTCGACTACCTTCGCGCGCGATGCAGTCGATCAGCACTCGTTCAGAAAGGAAGCACCTCCGTGAGCTACCTACCCATCGCTTTGCGTTTGGGGGAGGTGTCGTGAGGAGAGTTCCACTCACCATGAAGCCCAGGCTGTCGCTAGTGGAGAGGTCCCAGGGTCATAGACATCGACTGGGCGGGGCACAGACTCGAACGAAAGCTTCCTCCACCCCTTCGCCAGGAGTGGGGCTACTAGGAACAAGGACGCTATTAGGTGGTGGCCATCGCTACTAGGGTGGAGGCCATTACTATAGTAACAAGAAGCTACTAGTAACAAGGACGCTATTCAGCCGTGACCAGCGGCTGACGGGTCGCGTCCTGGCTCCGCCAATCCAGGACGTCTCTTGGTCGCGGTGGCTCCAAGCGAGATGCCACGAAGTGACCCTAATGCTGCCAGTCTGTTCTTGAAATCCCGGGGGGACCGGTGGATCCCAGCTATAGCTAGATAAGGCACCAGGCTTTCAATGTCGGTCAAACTGGAACCACTGGTGACCGTCCTCGTGGTTTGCCATGCGCCTGGATCCACTGTGAAACAGGAGAGTCGCCGAGTCGCTTCCTTTGTCTTCGCGTTTCGCGTCCCACCGGTTCGGTTCCAGGCTCGGTTCGTGCGACACCTCCCGCGCTAAAACGGTGGACTCTCGTCAGAACGGACTCCTCCAGACTCCTCCCCGGCCTTGCCTTCAAAAGGTTCCGGCCTCATGCTCCGGTCCGGCGCCGGGCTGCGCCTCACGCCGAAAAGAAAAAAGCCCGCACCCCCCGGAATTTAACGCTGGCCGAAGAAGACGGGATGCGACTGCTGGAGATCGGCTCATGAAGTTCTGGTTCAAGGGGAAGGAAGAACATCCAGGGCCCAACATCAAGGGGAAGGAAGAACATCGTTTTTTTTTGCAGCACCCTAAAATCCTTTTATAAACCAACATGTGAACATTTTTTTCGGTTTTAATCCATGGACGCTTTGCGGGAATCGCCAAGAAACATGGAGATGGAAGAGAATCGACTCCGCTCTGCGCTGCCAGTTGAGCCGCAATCTTAATGACTAACACAGCGTTGGCTCTTGTAGCTCAGTTTGTCGCTCGATCCTCAGGCATTGGAATCACGGACAGACATGAACAGACCAGTCAAAGCTTTGGGTGGCTACAGGTGATATGTTCCTTGAAGTGTGTTATGAAGACCATGCCCTCCTTCTGGACACTTCGGAACCAATTTCCAACAACTTCTGAAGTTCAGGTTCATGAATTGGTGTCGCTGTCATCCCTTGAGCGTGCAAAGTCAGCACCCCGTCCAGATCCATTTTCGCTTGCAGCTCGCTCTGCACTGCGCTGCTCTGCGCTGCTCTGCGCTGCTTTGAACTGCCCCACCACCTCTCTTTTGGACTCGGGGGTTCATTCCGACACATACTCTTCACCTACAGAGGTTAAGTGACCTTATAGGACCCTACAGGAGTACCTATAGGATAGTCTATAGGGTTCCCTTTGCTGGCAGAGATGGTCTGAGTGTGGACGAAATGGATGTGTGAGACGCCCTGATCACCGAAAAAACCACCCCAGAAACATCCCAAGGCCGAACACAGCTCTACCCGACTCCCAAAGTGTATCACGGCGTGTTCCTAAATAGCAATGGCCTCCAACCTGGTAGCGATGGCCTCCAACCTAATAGCGATGGCGTCCAACGCGATGGCCTCCAACCCATAAGATTCTTGGACCATCCAAAGAGCTCTCAGAGATCATCGGGTGTCTCCGTGGCACTTGCAGCGGGGTGGGTCACTTGCAGTGGCTTGTGGCGCCTTTCCTTGAGCCGCTTTTCCATGGCAGAGGTTCCTATTTGCCACTGGAAGATTTGCCCAGTGATGAGCCGTGGCCACCCAGCAACACACATGCGGCTTCTTCTCTTGACTGAAAAGGACAGAGAAATGCGGATGGGTGGAAGCGGATCAGTTTTTTTTTCATTTTCAGGGAGCTCCCTCACTTCGTGCAGCCAGTTGTTTTTTGGTGCAGAAACACTTCGAGTTGGGAGACAAGCCCTGCAAACAGTCGTTTCTTCTTTTATTTTTTTTCGGTGGGTCCATTCGGAACATCCAGTCGTTTTTGGTGGCCGTGTTTTTTGAGTGAACTTTCGAGATCCATGGTCCACGCTGGCTTTTTTTGAGAAGATCTTGAAGACAGGATTTGTGGTTTAAATGCTCCTATAGCACAGTGAGAAATGGAACCAGGAGCTGGATGTGAACTTATACCACTAAATGTTTAAGAGTTGCTGGATGTGTTTTCAACCTTGGGTGATGCTGCGATGCTGGTGTTGAGCTTGTGAAGTCCTCAGGTAGTTTATATAGTATGACAGAGCTACTGAGGTCTATATTTGCTGTGTATCTTCTGTTCCGGTGAAGGCCCTTCTTCCAGCAGCAAGTATGCAACATACTGACAGGCCCTGTCCCGCACTTGTACCCGAATCAGTGTGATGCTCCAATTGCAAGATTGACATTTCCGCGAAATTTTGCGCTGCCACGGGGGGGCTAACCAATAAGATCAAGAATAGTACCTACTGATTCTGAGCACGGAATGCACTCCTCTCATTCCTTGGAACCCAAACAACCAGAAACAGTTCTGGTTGTTCCAATACATCAATTTTTTTGGATCCTTTACATAACTAGGTGGTTGGGACGGTGGACACACAAAACACATCTTTCTGGCAGTTGAGGTTTCCAGATTGATCAGACGTGAACGATCTCCACTCTCACCGAGACGAGACCTGGGGACATCACGGAGACCTGGGCCCCTGTTTTTTTCCAAGCTGTGGGATGGCAACAGCAGTGCTTTTCCACCCAAAAAGAATACAGAAAGGGACGCTGTCAGGCAGAAACCACAGTTTCCCAGGCGACCCGACACGTGTCGGGTCGCGTCTTGGTCGCTTCTTCCGCCTCCGTCGTTGGTCGCTCGACATCTCCGACCGCCGTCATCAGCCCGTCGCTGTTCGTCCGCAGCCCATCGCGAGAAGTCGTCCATGGCTGATGAAGGCTCGGCGCAACAGTCAGCTGTCACAGGAACCAGTGGAACCGCACCTGCCACCTGTCACGAACCTGTCACGAAGGAACGGTTGGAACGGAACCTTGGGATGGGTCAAAGGCACAAGTGTGTGACACACCGAAAGTGATACGGCGCCACGGAATTGAATGTCACATATAATTAACTTGAACCGGAAGGTAACATGATCAGTGACCACTGTGCAAGGAGTGCAAACTCTTGTGCACACTGTGGGAAGATTCTTCACGTCACGCTGGTCATCTCAAAGTGTTTTTTTGTTGACTCCACTCGCCGTGATACCACACCCAGCTTTGGGGAATGATTCCGGGAATGACCGTATACGCAGTACATACTCCAGGGGTGAAATGTCATAGAAACTTGGAGTATGAATTTGGGTGAAACTGGTTGTGTCCTGTGTAAAAGTCGGTCAACTAAGCACATTGCTGTGTAAAAGTCGGTTTGTTTCACTGCCTTATCGCTATATGGTTGCTTCCATAAATGCAGTGCTAAGCACTTTAGATAGGACGCATGTTTCACATCATCCGAAACATCGATCCAAACATCGGTCGAATCATACCCCCGAATCATACCCCCGACGGCCCGATGTCCGGGTACAGAGCCATATAGACCTGCACCGTCCGGTCTTCCTGCACCGTCCCTTCGGGATGCCGGGTGTCGCGTCGCGTCGCGTCGCACTTGGGTCGCATCATCTGAAACCCGGATGACGAACGGACCTGGGTCCATCACAGATGGCTTCGGATCCTTTGCGGAAACCCCCAAAACCGATAAAAACACGAAAGCATCTCCTGTTCACCATCCCAAAAAAGACAGCATACCACCTGTTCACCAACTCAAGATCTCTTTTCGGACTCGCTTCCTCCCACGCGGCCATGAGCATGGCTGGACATGGAAACTAACAAAAACACAGCAACTAACTGAGCTTTTTGCCCAACCTCCCCGGGTCTCCGTCGTCTCGTTTTTCGTTTCTTCGTCTTCTCTCCGAACTCGGACCGCCGGACTCGGACCGCCGGACTCGGACCACCGGACTCGGAACCACCGCACCGAGGTTACGAGGGGTTCCACTGACCGTGTGTCTCTCGGGCTGGGCGAAGCACTTCAGACCCCCCGCGTCGGGGATCCTGCAGAATGATCAGGACGAGCGGACGAGCTGCGGTCCGGCGTGGACGCGGTGTGGCGCCGGTGGTCGAGAGACCACCGGTGGGTCGGAAGGTGCTCGTTTTTTCGAAGAAGACGAGGAAGAAGAGGAAAGAAGATGAAAGACATATGAAAGAGAGAAAGAAAAGGAAAAGGAACGAACAGAAAAAAGAAAAGAGGAAAGGGACGCAAGAGAAAGAAGCAGAGGCAGTTCCGTTTCTTGTGTGGGGAAACCCTTTACGGGCCGCCTTTGGAGATCGGCAGCTTTGCCTGCGCCCTCCAGTTCTTGTTGATCCCGATGAGACATGTAGAGACTGCCTGGGTTGTCCACCATTTTATATGATGACATGGGATGATGGATCTCACGATCTGTTTCGTGAGTGGAACAAATAAACCAACCAGCTGTGACGGCGCCATCATTCAATAAGCCGGCGTTCGCTGGCTCGGTCTCCGCAGGAAAGCTACAATCTGAGCCAGCCCACCGAGACTCGTGTGGCATGACGTAGCCCCACCAGAGCAAACCCATCTGGCTGCCCCGGCCCCCCCCAAGTCAGGGGGGACACACCACAAAGAGTTGGTCATTGAGTCTCAACGACCCATAGTACCCATAGCAATCTACTTAGAGATATGTAGAGCTCGAATGATTTTGATGATTTTTGGTGGGTGCCCTGAGGGCCAAACCAACCCCGTGGGGGACCTCCAAACCGTATTTGACTCGTCCATTTCCTTTCCAATGCAGGGTTTGTCCTCTCCAGCTAGGAGGGCTCATGTGGTTTCTACCCAACAGCAGAATGCAGCTGAATTTCAATCTTTGGACCTGGGAGTTGGACGCTCCGATCGGAATCGGCCGATAGGACATATCAAGGTTTATGTCGAAGATTCTGGCGGATTGGTGTTGTGCTAAAGATGCAAAGGACCCCAGGTGGACAAAGGCTTACCTGTTACTTTTGGAGGGAAACTGAAGCGGGGTCCTAAATCATCTCTGGTATCACAGATACTATATATGCTGCCCCAAGCTGCTTGGAAGTAGGGTTCACCTCGTTCCAAAATCAAACATCAGATGCCAACTTCCACTTGCAGACCACCTTCTGAGCAACCCGAAACCCCAGAAACTCCTGCGTGAAATCAACACGCCCTTCGCTCGCAGAACACTTGCCACCTCACGTCTGGGTCGTCCGTGTGCCTCCGTCAAGAGCCCGAGCCACCGTCCGAGGAGGGCTTTGATGAGTTTTTAAGTCACGACTGGGAGACGCCAAGGCTACACAAATTGCTCACCATGCTGCTTGAAGCGTGCAAGAACGCGGGGAACAGGAGGAACGCTCTATATTTGGCATATTGTTGTTGTGTTTCTCGATAGGTGATTCTTTGCATTCTTTGCATTATTTTCTATCACATTGAATTGGTCGTCCCACTGTTGTTGAATGAGGACATATGTGGCCCACCCGAGATCAGGAGATTCCACACAGAGTTTTATAGGTTCGATCTGGCTTCCGGATCGCCACGTGGTCACGTGGATTTCATAGGCCCCTGGAAGACAAGTTTGCTCTACGAACAAGGGTGTGAACTCCACGTCCGTGTTAGTGAGTCAGAGTGTGATGATATTTGGTGTTCTTTTTAGAGATTGCCCTAGCTGGAGACGCAGCTGACTCCAACACCTTCCCAACGGAGAGAAGACCGAAAGAGATCGCGACGGACACATCAGGAACAGCGTTTGACTGGATGCCTCGCGTTTCGGAGGATGTTCACCTCCTTTGGGTTTGGTTGACCAGTCCACCCACCCAGCCGAGAGGGGAGCGAGGGGACGACGAGACGATCGCAGACCAGCAGAGGTTGAAGAACCCTAGTTCGGCTATCCTATGGGTCCCCCTGTAGGGTCCTATAAGGTCCTTCAACCTCTGTTGGGAGTTCAGGTTGATCATCTACAACTCAAGGCACGGCCAGTTTGTTTTTGCCCGTGGCCCGTGCGCCATGGCCCTTTCGCGTGGAAGAGGTACGGTCGGATGCGACGGTCGTGCCCATGTGAAGAGGTAGTCAGGTAGTCTGTTGAGCTCCTTTATCATTTTCTTTCCAGGGAGTCGTTGCCTGCGAGGTCTCCCTGATTGAATGCACACCCATTTCACCTCCAATGACTCAGTGCTTGGTGAATCATGTGTTTCTCACCCAGAGTGTTCCATCAAACTGCCAGATTTGATCAAAACTGGATGGTGGTTGGGGCATCTTTCTGGCATCTTCTGTCTACGATCCATGTAAGTAACGCTCCGTTCACCGGCCTTTCCCGGTCCCTCCAGCATCCCGTGCTTGCTTCCGATTCGGGGTAGTACGGTCCCTACGGAACGGAGGGTCCAGGGTTGCGTTTGGGTCTGGGAGTCAACATATGACCCACATGGACCACCCCCAAGGGGGTTGCGTCTGGGTTCCAACCAAACACTGCGAAGACCACACGAATTTTCGACCGGACACCCATTCACCACCAGCGCGAGGTACATTCACCTCCCCATTCACCACCAGCCATGACGTACCCCACGGACCATGACGTCAACAGACCCTCCGAACCGACCGACGGGTGACCGGCCCTGGGGTTTTCTGCTTCAGGGGGACCTGAAGCAAAGCTTCACCTGAAAGAGGGTCCTGACGATTCTTAGAGCTAGGCATGGCTAGGACACTGTCCAACGCGAACCGATCCTTTATGCACACTGTCCTAACGGGTCGTCGTGATCGTGGTTTTCCGTACATCGTATCGACGTCGACGTGGTCGTGTCGCGCCGGCGGTCTGACTTCTGGGGGAGACAGGTCGACAGACGTGTTATGACTGACCCGGAAGCTGAAGGAATCGTTGAGAAGAACGCTTTCCAACAATTATGTGACTTGTGGAGGCTTTGATGGATCAACTTGATGGTGTCTCTCTTCCAACGATGCAACATGTCTGTCTTCTCTTGGCTGGTTTCATAGAAGAAGACGTTGGAAGATCTATATAGGTACAGGAAAGCCATCAAAAGCCACGTGATTTGGAGACACCTCTTAGGAGGATCCAGGTATATATGCTGAACCGCGATGCATTTCTGAAACGATAGATGGAGTTCTACACCAGCCTTCCAGAGGTCCCCTGGATTCATGCGGTGTTGGAAGAGATGGCATTCTTCCTTGGCTGGTCTTTGCTTCTGGTTGGTCGCCGCAGCATGAAAGTGACTACACTCCAACTCATGTCGCATGGACCGACGTCGGGCCCAGTCGGTGGCCCGGCCAGATGTGACCCCTTTCCTTGAGCTACACAGGTGGTGGAAAGCTTCCACTTCCAGGGTTTTCGTGAGTTGAAGGGTCTGGGACGCCGTGGTGGAGCATTCACTGGTCTTCTATGAACCATTCACCGGTTGGGAAGGCGCGGCTTCACTGCGGCTTGTGGACCCACTGGCGTTGAAAAGAGCCCCCCCCCGATGTAAAAAGGGGAAAGCCGCACCAAAGGATGAAGCTCATGAGGTTTGCTCCAGAAGCCCTGGGGTTGATCCTTTTGGGATCTTTTTGGGCTCATTCACTGGTCAAACCAATTCAAGTGGTTTGCTTCCGTGAACACCGGCTGTTGCAGGGCGGCCTTCGTTTGCTCCTTCTGCTTTAGCGTGCTGGTGGGATTCCTACGAGCTGTGAAGGCTGGGAAGAAACATGTTGCTTCCACCAGCACCACCCAGGTCGGGTGGTTTACATTATAGACCTCCCAAAGGGTGGTATGCTCCATCCAAAAAGCACCCGAAAATAGGTGGTGCTGGTATATTGACATTAGATTTAGTATATGATTGTTAGATCTGTCTGATCCAGTCACCAGCGGAGGTCTACCCCAAAACTGACTTCGTACCAAGAACTATCCATGACAACTACTGCTCTTTTTTTCCAACCCCCCCACTTCTATCAACCCTAGGGCTCCAACCATCTCCTCAGGTTCGGTTAGACCCCCCTGGCACATCCTGGCACCCACCCCTGCCCCATCTTCGAAACGAAGGTGGGGCCAGGAGCCCTAGGGCCTAGGGCAACTTCAGCAACTGGATGCGAGCTCCCAAACCAACGGGATGCAGAAGTCGAGTTGGCATCGAGTCAAGGGACCGATCGTTCAGGGCTTTCCGCAAGCCGCCACGGACCACGAGTGGATGGGGTTGGATCAGTTGGGTCGGGAACGCGTCCAAGCGGACACCAACGTGTTATGACTGACCCGGAAGCTGAAGGAATCGTTGAGAAGAACGCGAACACAATGTGACTTGTGGAGGACTTGATGGATCAACTTGAATATAATTACCTACGTACTGTATATAGATCTTCCAATGATGCAACGATTCTGCCTTTTCTTGGCTGGGTTTATAGATAACAAAGTCAACATACATGTTGCATAGTTGGAAGATCCAGGTAGAAAAAGAAAAGCCAAACCAAGTGCCACGTGATTTGGAGACACGTCTTGGAGGGGCCCAAGGGGTGTCTATTGATATGACTCCCCAGGCATCAGCAGGCCATAAAAGGATCAAAAGCCACGCAGGTTCTCTCGATCACACTCGCGCGCGAAGGGAGACCGGACAAAACACCCAGCAGGAGTGGTCGCTGAGACCAGTCGTTGTGTGTGCGGAGACCAACCAAACACATGGCACCTGTCAATCGGAAGTTTCTCGGATTGGTGTTGCAAACTCTTTTAGATGCATGTATCCGTTCTTACCTGCTTAACAGTCCGTAGGCAAGCAAATCACTATTTTGGAGGTCCAGGCCTGGAACTGAACCACCATCATCCACTGGGCCCTGCTAGTAGGTTAGACCTAAGCTGAGACCATCATGAAGAGAGGAGTGGAACATGCCGAACAAAAAGGCTTTGCGGTATTGGTGGGACCCGAACTCTTTGTGCGACCCTTTGTTTGATAGAAAGGTTTGTAATTTCACCAAGGGTCCAGATCCCTTGTGAATAGTCCAGCTTCTTCAAAGGTCGCTCTTTGTGAGCGACCTCATCCAAGAAGACCGTACGAGTTCGGCCGAAGGGTTTCAGGGCAATACCGTAGCTCTTTTGGAGGCACCGACTCGAATTCGGCTTCGCTGCTGTGAGGTCCTACCGGATGGGCTTGGAACAGAGTTAGTGGCCTATGCCGTTTTTCCTCTGGTCCTTTGCTTTTGGCAGAGGTGGGGGGGTGCTGTGGGTGCGAGAGAAGGTCCACTCAAGTGGCCCGAGAATGGACTGGTGGGGAAGTTCCATGGTGGGGCCTCTTTTCGGGGAAGAACTTGGTGTCCCACCTGAAGACTTCTCCTTCTATGGCTTCATCAACTCAATTTCAGCCATGCATTTGAATGCCTTTGGGATTTGGAGGGCGCCGTGGTGTGCCCACCTCCACACCAAGTAGGGCGGGAATTTGCAGCCACTTGACCTGATGAGTTAGACTCTAGAGAGAGAGAGAGAGAGAGATGTTCTTTCAAACTCTTGGCTAGGTCTGTTCAGTGGATGCACTGGAATCGGAGGGGCCCAGACAGGTCTGTTCTCAGTCTGTGGGCCTCGACTTGGTCTGAACCAAACCGGTCCGCTCGGTTCCAACGGTCAGTGCCCCTCCTTTTTTTGGCACGAAACGTCCCCTCCAAGTCTGATGCCTTGCCAAGAGGATTTCTTGCACCCAGCACCCAGCAGTTATGGGAGGGGTTCGATTTGGTCCGTTTTGCAAGGAACATCGGCACATGACCATGAATGGCCATAGTTGCTTGTTGAGGTCTTCTCTGCAGTTCCTTCCTGGGCTCAAGTGGCGTATGGGTGGATGTGACTGGGTAAGTGTTTGGTCTTAGAGGTGCCTTCTTCTCTTGAACCGTGAGACCTACCTACCCAAGGAAGTCAGCATCGATTACCTCCTTTGACAGAACCTACCCAGAACGGAAGGTCAAGACCTCACCTGCCTTCACCGAAAGTGGACACATGTCAGACTGTCAGACACCTTCACAGCCCGTTCCCGGTCGCCGTGCACCGGATTGGGGCAGGGTCACCTCTGGGCCCTGTCGCATGTCCGGTCGCGTGACCTGCGTCGCCCGCGTGACGCGGCGCCGCGGAGGCTCCGGAGTCTCTTTACAAAGCCGATCACGGTCTTCTTCGACATGCCTCTGGGATGGAAGCGTTGCCCCAAGGGAGGTGTATTCTAACCATCGGTCAGGCGGTTTTCTTTTTCAGCCGGCCATCTGGGAGGTTTCTGATTACACACCGAAAATGAACAAAGGGACTGGTGCCTGGACCCCACAAGGAGTGGTTTGTTTGGACACCCCTAAGCTTCACATCTGAAGGGGCTATGAAGCCCTTAAGGCCCTTGTCGGGTGTCTCTTACGTGTGTCGTGGTGCGTGTGGCGGCTGGGCGGCTCTTGAACCTTGGATGACCCTTGGAATCCTCCCTTCCTCAGTGGGTGAAATGGTGTAGAAGACCTACCTGGACCCCCGAAACGCGGGGTGGTTGGACACCCCGAATCACAGCTAAGGGGCTACAAATAGACACCGCTTTGCTTTGAGGGTCCTGGTATAGGAGGTCTATCTCAATCTTGGCCCAGTTGGTGAACATTGGGATCCTGGCACGGATCCGTGCCACTGCCGCACAACACGCGCTGTTGACGCCACTTCCCCGCAGGCTGTGCGTCAACCAGCACGACGAGGAGCTGAAGCGGAAAGCCATCTCAGGGTTGGCCACTCGGATTGGTTTACCCTAAACATCCTCCGAAACCACACCGCAATGGAGTGTTGATGGATGGGAGACGCTGGAGACGCCCTTGACACACCCCGGGCGCACATAGCTATGGGTGCAAGGAGTTGAGGTCAAAGTGAGTCGACCGGCACAAACTGCTCCAATCTTCAGAAGTGATGGATGGGAGACACTTCGATGTATATATCCCAGCAGTCACGTGAACTCGACCGGGTGCTATCCATGGAGGTAGTCGGGGTGCGAACATCCACTGGCTGGGACCAAACACCATCCCGAGCTCTGTGACCCCCGGTCCGGAGGTTTAGAACCGGAGCTTTCTGGTTCTGCCTTTCGTCCAGAGGACTTGCCTGATCCCCCCTTTGTACGACCGGACCGGACTAGCCGTGGCGGAAGAACAGTCTCAAGTAGGGTAGCTGGGTTGAAACCAACGGTCTTTTCTCTTTGCCCCCTGGGTCCCGGTCTCTCTCCGGTGAGGTGAGCTTCTTGGATTCCTCGAAGAAACTGACCATCTTTTGGTCCAAGCGCTATTTCAGCCGCCTGTGGCACCTGGGACCGAGCGAAACCACCGGCAGGGAGCGACCTGCGGTTCGGTTCGGTTCGGTTGCTGGGTGGTAGAGATTTCTGAAGAGATCATGTAAAGACTGCGCAGGTGAGTGTGGGACCTTCTTGTTTTGCCGCCTGCTTCCAGGAAAAACGAGGCAGCCCTGTTAATGCCGTGGTTTAATGTTATTGCATCTTCACCAATGTCTGGTAATTGTAGAATTACTAATCAAACATACAGTACAGTATTATATGAATTATTGTTCAACTACAAATTGTAATCGAGGAGTCACATGTTGGGGTGGTTTTTAGTCCCATCCAGTGAGTGGATGTTCTGGGCACCCCATCCAGTGACTGCTGGATGGTTCACCGTCTTGCTTAGCTCAATCGATTCTCCTGGCGCTCCCTGATTTGATAGGGAGAATCTGTGGTTGAGTGACCCTGGTGGAAACACAGACATGTGAAAATGGTGTTTTTATATATACTACCATGGTATCATGGTGCCATGCACAGACTACACACAAACACACGCGCATGTGCACATAGAGAGAGAGAGAGAGACAGAGACAGAGAGAGACAGCGTTGTGGCCCAGGTGCACCTACGAAATCAGCACCTTCCTCCGAGATCCCCAGATGCGGACGCCTGGGCGTGTAGGGATGCCGAAACGCGGGCGGAACTCTGAGCCAGAGTCAGGCGTCGGAGAAGCAGAGTGAGTCTGCACGTAAAACAACAGATGAAGAAAGTCCACATCCTTCTAAGACTCAGGGTCCTTAGTGAGTGGTGCACTTTGGTCTTGGAGGTGCTTTCTAACCTGGCTCCATATAGGTCTAATATGACCACATAGACCGACCTGCATAGCCCGGTTCGCCCGGGTTCGCAATCATCAAATCCACCGAACTTGCATCAGAGTGAGTCTCCCAAGCCCAACGGCGCTTGGATTGGGGGCGGATGTGGTGGGTGTGGTGGTCGTTTCCATCATCGGAACCGACTGGAGTGTTATGAAACGAGAGTGGAATCGAAGAATCGGAGGAATCGGAGGATTTGATCGCCCTGCCAAGATGCTCATGGACCCGAACCAACTGCTACCTGGACCTTCAAGGGGTGTCCACTGTCCAATGGAGATCCCCGATAGTAGTGTAGAGTGTAGGGGCTTCCATTGGTGACCCCGACATGAAGGTGCTGGCAGATGTTTGAGTTTCAACACGTGGAACCAACCCGGACCGCAAAGGGATTGGGTCCAAACTCGCCGAACTGGGTGGTATCAATTCGCTGATCGGTGATCCGAGATCATCCGAGTGATCTTCTTGCTTTACTGCACACTTCAAAGGGAGGACACACTAATCCCTCTAGCACATCTTTTCTGGGTCCAAGACTTGTTCAGCTGGATGGAGAAGAGGGGATTTCTGAGGGAACACAGGTTCAAATTTGTCGGTCAACCCCAGTATTGTAGACTTTTGATTAATAACCCCCGCTGTTGGAGGGTTTAATCAAAAGTCCGCATTAGGTTGATGAATAAGACCATCTCCCTTTTCCCGAATGGTTTTAAATCTCCAGGCCTTTTGGTGGACAGATGGTTTTGTGTCCTAATAAAGTCACCCTGTAAACGTGCTTGACGCAAACATGCGCACTCCCCTCCTGGCCTGGTAGAATCATGATGGATGGTCAATGGTTGATAGCATCACCAAGGACATACATGTATCCATGTCATGTCCGAGCACCAAACAGGTGGAGGTGCCATCCATGTCATGTTCCGATTCCGTGTCATGCCACATCGGGCGCAAGCAGCACCATCCAACCTGGATGTATCCCAGACACTCCTGGACCCTCCTCTGCACGGGCTTAGGTTCGAACCAATCCTTCGCTTTTCAGAGACGAAAGGATGTTTGGAGCGTTGGGGATAGCGTCTAGACACTACGAAAACTCAAGAAGTGCGGGCACACGCATCACACCAAAGCAGCGCATATATGTTCATTCTCTAAGACACACTAATGTCATGCTTGTCTTGAGTCTATGGGGTCTATTTTTCATGTGGGAGATGTGCCCCCTCGGATGAAGTCCCTTTTTTCACAGAAAGGCGTGAAGGAAATGTGTAGCCGGGTAGCCAGTCCGGATGTAAAAGACCAGGTATGGACCTGGGTCAGACTGGACGTCCGTAGGGATTCTTCACCATCCGATGGCGGAGGGTGATTTGCGAATCGAATCTTCAAGGCACCTGAGGTTTCTAAGGTCATCGGTTTCTGTCAGCTGGGACAGCGAGCCGTTTTACCGTTGGGCGACAGCGCCGTTGATGGGAGCGATTCAGCGACAGCCAGTCATGATGGTGTCCAGTCGTTCTTTTCATGAATCACATGGGGGGGCCTGGAGTGGTCCCCTAACCCCTTGTCAAACGGGTTAGACATGCCCTTTTGCCACTTTCATGAAAAAGACACCACACCTTCACAGCATTTGCTCCTGCATTTGGTCTGTTTTTCGCGCCACATAAGGAGGACCATTCTAGTCATGCCGGTGAAGCTCTCCGTGATCCTCGTCGTATTTAGCATCTTTGAAAGCAGTTATAGAGTACTTACCTTATATAACATTATATAACAAGATCACTATAAGTCAGTCTCTTAAAGCCTGCAGTCCAAATCTTGCGTGGACCTTTTGTAGCCCATACACTTCTTTTACTACTGTGGATTGACCCGAAAAGGCATCCTCAATAGGTAGTGCGACACGTTCCAGGTTTTCCCAGGGATGGAACTCCACTTCAAAGCTTTCGGAACCACATGGCTTCTTCAAGTCCTATCATTTGTTGGGTGAGATTCTAAAGGCCCTGCCCTACACTTCCAAGATTGATGGAACATCGCCTGCATCATCCCGATCACAAGGCTTGGAAAGGTGAACTTGCTCCAGAACTGACCTCACATGGATGAGTTTCTGGCAGATTCCGATTGGCACCAGATCGGGCGTCGAGTCTCGATGTCGAGGTCACCTTGGTCACCTGGATCCCGACCTCCCTGTCCGTCACCTAAAGAAGGCGCCCTCAATGGGCGGGTGGTCGGCGGTCCAAAGATGAGGCATTTTTGAGCACATGATCAGCTTTGCTCATTTTCTCATCACGGAGATTTACCCAGATGCTCGCTGGCAGATGGGCAGCCCAGGGGAGTGTGGTGGGTGCCTTTCAATACGTAGTGCCTTTCAATGATGCAGCCAGGCTTGAGAAGGCAGCGACAAGTCCACCCTGAAGTCCCCTCCGAAGTGGGTGAACACCTGGAAGCCAGGACGTCTTGAGTCTCAATCAGCTCCAAACCCTGCTGGGTTAACCGTGTCTCGAAGTCAGACATTGGGCGCTTTCTTCTCCACGGATCCCTCCATGTCCCGGTCTTCCGCTCCGGTTCGTGGGTGCATGGGTTTCTACACCAGTCGACCCGGCGGTGTCGGGGGGGTGGGGGGTCGATGATGCCAGGAAACAGTCACCTGTTTGGGGATTCCAACACCAAATTCTGGAATGGAACTGAGCCAGCAGGTCACATTTGACGAAATGCATCATCCATGGAGGTTAGGGGGGGGTAGTCGGGGTGCCCCGACGTCACATCCACTCACGTAAGGGGACGAACAAAACCACCCCGTCTTGTGACTCCAGGAGGGACATCCCTTTTTCTTGTTGAATCGTTTTGGGTTTCCTCATCTCATCGACCCGACCCATCACTCAAGTCTCTGTAGTCGGTGCAAGGACCTGAGCCACCTGCAAGAGCTCGCCTTGTTCTTGCCCTTCTTGGCTCTCAACCCTCTGCACCTCGGCCATCAGACGATCGTCCATCCAGATCGAACGGCAGCCTTGGGATGGACGGACGGAAAACACACGTAGCCGGACTCTCCCTGGAACTAACATGGAAGTGGAAAAAACAACATCTGTTTGTAGTGGATTTCATGGTCTTCCGAAAGCGGGGCCAGGACGTCCACTTCCATGTTGTACTTTCCGTAGTGACTTTGAAGGACGTCAAACCAGTTGCGTCCACAAGCCATTTGGCCCCTTTGTTGCCCGGTTCACTTAGGTATCCTTAGGAAGCCATAGAACGTATCGTTAGCGCTTGAGAAAAAGGATCATTGTGTGCGGCGCTTGGGGGATCCTACATGGTAGCGGAGCCCTTCGTGATCTACGACCTATTTGATTGAGTACCTCGAGCATCTTGAGAACATCAGGATCCCTGAGTATGACGATTACCAGGACGAAAGATGGAGTACCAGGATGGAATGGTGACCCGGCTACATGGCTGGAGTTCAAACAAGCCGCCAGGTTGTATGTCGCATCGACAAAGTTTGAGGCCAGATACACGTGTGGACCCAAGATTGCAGCAGAGCTCACGGGAGCAGCTCGTACTGCCATCATGGGAAAGAAAAGCAGTTGGTTGAGTGAAGAACAGGGTACGGAGACATTGTTGCAACACCTTCAAAAAACAATTGTGGAACCAGCGCTGCCGGAGGTGGGGAATTTCCTTCGACAGTACTTCAAAGTTTTGAGCAGACAGAAGGGAGAGTCGATGACTGCATTCTGCGTTCGACATCGTGATGAATATGAGCGCATGTGCAGGGCACTCGCCCGAATGATGAAGGAGCACAAACAAGAGGTGAGGACTTCAATGCCGAGCTCTTCACAGTCAGCTGCAGCAGAAAGCGTGGGAGAAGTGAACGATGGGCAAGGGGGCCAAGATGATCCAATGCCAGCCATCCGACATCAACCAGAAGGACCAATGGCAAAACTCATGGTGGGATCATCAGTGGTACTGGTATGGGAACAGCAACTGGTACTACTCACAATGGAAGACACCACAATCATCATCATGGGGACGACAGAGCTGGTCCAATCGATCAGACACCCAAGAAGCCGAAGAAGATGAACAAGTGAGTATCTTGCCCGATGCAGTATTGGGCTGGATGCTTTTGGAGAAGTCAGGACTGGACACCATGGAGAAGAGCATCATCCAAGGAGAGGTGAAAGGAAACTTCACCCTTGCAGGCATAGAGAATGCACTACGAGCTCATTGGGCAGATGACACCTTGAAGAAAAGAGATGGTGAAGGAAGACATGCTTCCTTGTTTCAAGGAGAAGAAGCTGAAGAAGACTATGACATGCCCCTTGACGAGGCAGAGGCGTTCTATGAAGGATGGACGGAGCGAGAGAAGGCATGGTATCAAGAAGCAAAAGAAGACGAACAACATGCCTGGCTTCAGATACAAGGAGCCAAGAGGACCTTGAAGGAAGCTCGGGCTCGCCAACACGAGGTGAAGATGACCAGGAAGTTCTACCGATCCTATCCAATTGGGAGTGGAGGAAAAGCCGGGGGACAGAAAGGAGACAAAGAAAAGGGACCTTGCTTCCGATGCGGAGAGAGAGGACACCACAAACATGAATGTCCTAAGAGAGAGAGAGAGAGAGAGAGAGAGAGAGAGAGTGCCAAATTGGCAACCCATCAAGAAGAAGAAGATGATGAAGCACAATTCACCTACCAGACCATGGACATCAATGACGCCCCTGAGTCGACCGAGGGTGGCCTGTCGGACAAGGAGGAGGTGAATTACTATGGAGCAACAGGATCATCAGAGCTTGAGCCAGCTTCAATTTTTCAAGCCAATCTGTCCACCGAAGCTGCCATCACAGAAGGGAAGGCAGTGATCGACGGCGGTGCCACTCGCACGATGGCATCAGTGTACGCCATTGAGAAATACATGGAGGTGATGAAAGGATTGCATGGCACCGACGGCATCAAGCATGTGGGAGTCACCGAAGCAGACCGGCCGACATTTGGCTTTGGGAATTCTCAGAAAGCCAAGTGCCTGTCAACATGTGTTTTGAAGCTGCCTCACGAAGAACGACCTATGCAGTGGACGAAGGAAAGGCACCAGTTCTTTTGTCAGTGGACACCTTGAGGAAAATGGGTGCCATCATTGATTTTGCCACCGACGAGGTGATCTTTTCGAAAATCGCGCCAGACAAGCTGATCAAATTGGAGCGATCCACATCGGGACACCAGCTCCTTCCTTTGACCAGTGATTTCATTCAACGAGGTGAACTTCTGAAGCGGCCGGTGAGTAGCTTGAAGCAGCTAGTGGTAGGCCATTTTTCAGAGAAGCCTCAAAGCATCCACGAATAGGAAAGCAGACTCTGCTCGGAGAAGCCTGGATCCGAGTGGGAGGAGAAGAAACGAGCAGGCAATTTGAAGGGAGATCACTCACGTCATCAGAAAATTCATAAAGGTATGCATGTTTTTTGGAAAGATGATAATAATGCTTTTGTACAATGTCCTCTGTTTTTCAGCAGTCATGCAGAAGTTCAAGTGCCATGCTGACTCGGAGCCGTTCGTTCGTTGAGACCCTCAGACCAACACCTCCACTGAACGAGAATCAGTCAGTCATGTGAATCCCGCAGCATCTTCTGACCCAAATGTCATACGATCGTCAGGCCCTCACGTCCTTTCAGCGACAGCGGATCATGGCGCTCAAGAAGTACATCCCAGCGGAGAGCGCGGCAAACATGAAGCCACACTACATGTGCGGCATCAACGAATGCCGTGCGGAGCTCCGGGCGGCGGGACAACCGGTGCACCAGGACCTGTCTTTGGCAGAGGTGAGGATTGCAGTGAGGGAGCTTCGGTTGCGCCAAGGTCAGCTCACCATGCGCAGCCCTGGCAACGACCTGATGCAGCAGATCAAAAACGGAAAGAAGGCAGTCCTTGTGGAGATGTGTCACAACTACCAGTTGCCCATGAACCCCAAGGCCACAGTGGGAGAACTCCGTTTGGCCCTCCGCCGTGATCATGACTGTTACACATCAGTCTCTTTATCACACGCTGCATGTTTTTGTACAGGCTTCATATGTGCATATCTACCCTAAAGTACCCCACGAAGTGGAAGGGCTCTTAGGGGCGTGACATGGACGAGTCCGCAAGTTTGTGTGTGGGAGTGTATTCTTATGTTTATATAATTGTGAATTCTCCCTTTGGCCGCACACATCTCTAAAGAGAAGTTGTGTGTGGATCTTAGGATTTCTTTTGGGGGTGGAATTGCTGGTCACAGACTCTACTGAGTTTGACAAGCAAAAAGGATGCAGTTCTTCATGGTTCTTACATGGTATATACATCTGATGTTCGAGAAGAGTTATGGAGAGTTATTTTGTAAAAAATACCACTAGGGCTTGGATTTTGGCCTTATATATATATATTTTCCAATCATCTTTGGTCCCTGCTTCAAAGGTCTTCCCCCCAAAGATGCTCCTCGTACCTTCACATGTGCCGTTTCTGGTGCCTGTCATTTCTCGGTCCGAGGTTGTACTTCATCGGCATCGGAATGATGTCGGACCTGCAGAAGTTGCCACGGCAGCTCCAAGAGTTCCGCGTCCAGGCAACGATCAAAAGCGACGGAGAGTTTTCGTTCGGTGTCGCCTGCGAAGAGGTCCGCAGCAGGGTGACCGGGGTGGGGGGCTGGTTGAGAAGGGTGACCAAGTTTGGTGCTTATGCCAGCACCCAGGTCGGGTGGTTGATAGACCCCCACCACCATTTTTTGGGACCAGAAGCAGTTCGTCAAGTCACGAGAAATGGTCCAAAGTCGCATGAACATGATCACTTCCAACATGATCTCGTGGGAATTCCGTACTGCAACATGATTGACATCTTCAAACAAGACCTGGATCAAGACCTCACGTTCGTCGGAGGAACGTCACTCCTTGCCACCCGGTCAAGCCGCGACCGAACCTCGATTCCGCAGGACGCGGAGTGCGCGTGTTGCTCCAAGAACCATCGGCATCCGGAGACGGGGGAGACCTTGGCATGTGACCGGGAGATCATCTTCAGGACCCTCGGCATCGGCATCGGCGTGACCGGGCTCCAGTCGTACGTATTAGCTCGTTTCGGCTTGGCGGGACTGGGGTGGGTGGGTTTGGAACGTCCAGCCATACCTTCTGAGGAGGTACGACTGGAGACCTCTAGGGCATGGCATGCCTCCCACAAGGGTTTCTTCGCTGTTCCGGGAAGACAAGTGGCACCACACAGGTTTCAGAAGCGGAGAGTGAGTTCTTTTTTGTTTTTTCTCCAAGCGGGAGCTTTTTGGTGGTGTTGACCCCATGGGGAAACGTACACTGAAAACCCGACCATCCAAGATCGTACCAGCATCCCCTTGAGGAGGTTTGGCCACATTTCCCAGACACTCCATCTATAGTTGCCTGCATTGAGCCCTGAAATCAATCCCCACGATAGTCGGTCAAGATGCCAGGATGACGTGTCATGTGTCGTGTTCTTGGTTCCAAGAGCTGATGGCACCCCTCCCTTCGTCCGACATACTTCCATTGAATGGAAGTGGATAGCACCCCAGTGGCAATGGTCTTCGGGTTTACTCCTCTTCCCAGTGGCCATGCCATCCACGTCTCACCTCCAAGCCCAAAGGGTCTCCAAAGGGTCTCAGAATCCGCAGCCTGTCGTGGTTTTTCCTTGGTGAATCTCATCCATGTGGACTCGGAGAGTAGGTGTTCACCCTCCTTGAGATGTATTATAGATGTTTTACACCCGTCTGGGCCTTTTTCAGAGGTTTGACCATCCAGTCTGGGGGGGGTTGTTGAATCAAGGGTCTAAAGATGTCTATAGCCTATAGGGGCCGTCCGTTTGGTTCACTGTTGGGCGCGCCCCGTCGACCGACCGCCATGGATCGAGCTCCCGACGGACTTTGTGCGAAGGAGATGGTGGACTTGGGGCAACCCGAAGGCGCTAGGGGCAAGACACGAGCCATTCATGTTCATTCATCTGTGAACTGAAGGAGTTTTTGTTGGCTTCTCCGAGAATCGACGAGTTATCGTCGAGGTTTGGATGTTCGAGCTTTGTACTCCACTGATCTTTTCAAAAAGGCGAAGAGGTAAAGGTGGACCTAGTGAACCATGGAGACGGACGTCGCAATCAAACCCCAGCCACGAAAAAGATAGATATATACCTCCTTGAAGACCAACATGGACTCTGAAACGTGTTAGGTTGGTAGAGGAAAGCCATCTTCCAGGGGGGCATTGTCAGGGTCCATGTTAGTTTTGGGAGGGTATGACAATAAGTTTTCGGGAGGTTTTAGCCTGTGGAGCCCCTGGTTTTCCCTTTTTAATGTCCGGATTCCCTGGATGGAATCCAGGGTTTTGTACTAAGGATGTTGAAGAGATGGTTCGGCAAGGAGGATGACTTGGGGGATGAGCATTTGGAGACCTTCAATTCGCTGGTGCACGCCCCTTGGACCTCATGGGGTCGCTGTGAGACCAGCAGAAGAGGACACAGCGAGGACATGGGTCAGGTGGATTCGGTGGAGGGAAAAAACACCACATTGTTCTGGCAAGAACGCCTACCGGAGGCGTGGCCACCTGCGAACTTCCGAGTGCCTGTTGGAAGGTCATTACGACGTTTGAGAATGAGACACTTCTAAAGGAACAAGAATTTTTTGCATGAAACATCATGGCTGCCGCGTTTTGTGGTTCTTTGAGGGTGCAGGGAGGTTTTTGAGCTTTTGCATTCTGATCTATGCATGCTGGGCCAGCTGAGAATGATCATTATTGGGATCCATCTTCCAAGTACCTCGTGACTGCGGACCGGAGTTGGGTGGATCCATGTTATTGAACGAGTCATTTTCCTCGCTTCCGGTGGTGCTCAAGTACAGTGACTGCTGATGCATCAAACCGCCTCACTTGGAATGTAACACCTTGTCATCTACTATGTGTAAACAAACACAGTATTTTTTTCTTGAATATGGTAAACCCCTAAGACAGACTCCGGGCCAAAAAAACACCAACCAATGGGAAAAGACTTTGCAGGTGAAGAAGAACCACATCTTTGTGTTGCCCGGGGGCAGAGCATTCGGGCCCGTGTGCATTCAGGCCCGTCTGAGTGTCTCCATGTGAATCAATTCCCAGATACTCCATGTAGGCATAGTGCACTGTTATCAACTGCCCCTGTCTAGGACTGCACTTGTGTAGCATTCCCAAGAGGGCGGAATCCTCGTGTCGCTCGGTCTACCACTTCGATGCGTCGAATCGCCTTCCTCGTCGGTTGTCTCGCCGAGGAAGTGCTGGCACCGCGAGTTCTGCAGAGCATGGGCAGTGACGTCTTACCCTTCAGCTACTGCTCCTTGGGAGTGAGTGCACGGCTGGGAGGTGAAGTGGCGTAAGGTGTAGGTCACGACTGATTTGACGGGGAGCCTCCAAGGGTGGTGTTTGTTTCGTGGCAAGCTTTTTGGATAAAGAGAGCCTTTCGAAAGCCAGGAAGTGCTCACCACGAAGTGTGAGGACCTCCTTGAATTTTTACGCCCCTTGGATGACCATTTTCCTCTACAAACCTGACGACTGTTTCACTCTGCTTCGTACTAGACCTGGTTCCTTCATCCATGTTGACTGCTCTACAACGTGTGTGGAACCTTCCATCCAGGTCATCCCAGGCCGCCCATGGGAGTGGGTATTTGGCCCCCGCGAAGATGTGGGGGCGCGGCTTGCGGGCACGGCACTCCTGTCGGGCACTCCTGGCCTGAGGTTCAGTGAGAGACCCTTCGGGTCGCAGACCCTGGGGGAAAAGAGAACTCTTCCCTCAGCGACCCTCCCGAGAAAAATGGGACATGACCCGCCTAGACTGTGGTGGCTCATGTATTCTAAGGTACTCACTCAGGTCGACTCTGCCCTCATGTCTGAGGTGTCTACATGATTTTGGTCTCTAAGATCCCTGAGCTCTGTCATTTGATTCCTGTGCTGGCCGCTGGGCCGGGAGCTCACGAGAACTTCAACACCTTCCACTGGGCCCTGCGGAAGATCTTCACCTGGGTCACTGGGGCGCAGCGGGCGACCGCGGGCGACGGCTGGTTGCGCTGGAGGCGATTCAAGACATGGACTGATCAATGAGCGAATAGATCTATAAATGATCTATATTAGATGATTCTAGAGCATCTCATCACCACTTCAAAAGGACCTCCCAAAACGCATTCGGAGTGCTTCGTGCTTCGACTACCGTCGACTACAGACACCGTCTGATCGACCCGTCGAGCCGAGCTTCGGTTTTTCGGTTTGGCGCCCGGGGTTCGGACACTGGGGTCTCATGGCTCAGCCATTCGGACGTCGCGACGGGTGGGTGGTTGATGGGTCAGTTGAGGAGTCGATTCTACCCTAAAACCTCCAGTCCGCCCCCTTCGTTTCGAAGATGGGCCAGGGGTGGGAGCCAGGGGGGGGGTCGAATACCACCGAACCTGAGGAGATGGGCCAGGAGCCCTAGGGCTAATCAGTCTGGGATCGAGATGGAGTCCGAATTCAGTTTGGAACATTGAGACCATCTACAAAAATCTATGAAGCCTGGACTCCCCCCCGAGTTGGAAACGGTTTCCAAGGTTTCCACCAGAGAAAGCTCCAGAAACAGAGAAACGGGTTCGGTGCAGAAATCTCTCACCGAACACACAGGATGTGAGAACCTTCGACTGATGTGGAAGGATTGAGACTCCCTGGCGCCTCCGAATCATGGATGAGATCCCTCTGATTCGTTCACAGATGCGCACTGGGAGGCCGCCCCACCCACCAGTTTTGAGAGTCTTGCGGCCTCTTCCCAAAAGCCGGCCTTCCCAAAACCCAGGCCATGGGTTGCGTCACCTCCCTTTTCTGGGTCCGCATGAGCATGCGAGGCGCCGCCGAGCCGCGCGGTTCGGCTGGGGGGGCTGCGAGAGGAGTCCAAGACCAGCGTGTTTAGAGAGGCCCCACGAGAGCCCTTAAGGAGTCTCGTTGTTCTTCCTGATTCTTTAAGCAGGTTCATGTGTTCATTTTGCCTGCCTGATCTGGGCCCCATCATCGAAGTAGGGTTTTTATGGTCCCACATGATCCCACCATTCCTGAAATCGCGACACGGACAATTTCACCGTAGTTCAGCAACTCAATGCCTCGCAACCCCCCCCCCCCTTCATCAATCAACTCCTCGTTTCATCCTGTTTCATCTGATGCCCCTCCAATAAGGTCGTTCCCGTGTGTTTTCCCATCTGATTCCCCTCTTCCGCTTCACGAAGGGACGCCCCGCAGGAAGCTCGAAGGTCCCCGGCCCGGCTGGGAGGGATGACGTCGGTGATAAGACTCAAACGAACCGAACGACCGAACCGGTGAACCGAACGGAGACGGGAACCTTCCGCAGAAAACGATGGGTCCGCTATACCAGAGGCTGGAGCCGATGGTAGCCACACCGGTCATAGACCATGTGTGGCCAGTGACGAGAGTCATTTCATTCCTTTGGATGTTTTTGTAAAAGACAGGTGATCCTGGATCAGCAGCGAAGAAGCGATGCATGATGATACACGTGTCATGTGGATGATCATGGACTTCGGGCCAACAAGCAATCAGCTCTTTAAGTCAATTCAGTCCAAAGTCGTAGAGTTTGGATGGCGGGCCATGGCAACGAACATTTCAGTGCTCCAGCCAAATGGAGAACTCCTGGTTCTTGAAGTCACGCCAGAGATAACAGGCCGCGAGCTTAAGCAGCAGATTAAGGAGGGACAGCCCTGGGACGAGCTGACTCGCAGCACTACAAGTGTGGAGATCATAGTTGGAGACGACCACTTGCTGGCCAACGATGCAAAGGTATTGGACGCTGGAATTACTCAAGATACTGTCGTGGGGGTTGTCTTCAAACCAAACATAGTGGTATGCTCCCACAAAGATATGATCGCTCGTCTTGGTGGCATAGTTGACTCCAAACTGTTACTTGTGGTTGAACTTCCAAATCATGAAACACACATTCATGCTATGGCTTTTGCATGGTGCCACACATTGGCCAAGTTGACAATCCCAGACTCAGTGACCCACATTGGAAATGGCGCCTTTCAGAATTGCAGCTCTTTGGCCAACTTGACCCTCCCGAATTCAGTGACTCATATTGGAGTTTGCGCTTTTCAGGGTTGCAGCTCTTTGGCAAACTTGACCATCTCAGAGTCAGTGACCCACATTGGAAATGGCGCCTTTCAGGAATGCAGCGCTTTGGCAAGCTTGACCATCCCGAACTCAGTGACCCACATTGGACATGGTGCCTTTCAGGAATGCTGCTCTTTGGCAAGCTTGACCATCCCGAACTCAGTGACCCACATTGGCAATTATGCCTTTGCTGGTTGCAGCTCTCTGGCGAACTTGACCATCCCAAGCTCAGTGAACCACATTGGAAATGGTGCCTTTCAGCGCTGCAGCTCGTTGGCAAACTTGACCATCCCGAACTCAGCGACCCACATTGGGGACCAGGCCTTTGCTGGTTGTGACTTGTTGCCCACATAATACCGGCTACCTGGTTCTGTTTTGACCAGGACTCAGACTTCATGTCTTGGCGCTCGTTCCAAGTAAATGGTTCGGTGCGCTCGCGTGTTTTTCGGGGCGTGTTTTTCCCAGAAAACATTCTTGTGGGTGGGCTTTCAGAGAGTTACAATTTTCAACGCAATGGGATGATGGATCCGACTCTTTTGTTGTTTGTGAGTTCAAGTGGCACAAGAGGTTGTTACTGCTACCAATTGTTTTTTTTTTCCACCTGTATTATGCAGGAGCTTTTTCTGCCCAGCTTTGTCCTGTCGGTCATGTTTGGGATTGTGTCTCGGTTGCTCACTCTTCACTCATTTTCCACAGAATCGGTGGTCATACGGCCTGGGGTTAAGGCCTGGTAGTGGTTAAGGCCTGGGGTCGCTTACCGGGATTGATATTTTTCCATCTCCCTAGGGCTCCAAGTACCTCCTCAGAAGGTATGACTGGACCCTCTAAACCCACCCCAGTCCCACGTTCTTAGAAGGTACGACTGGAGCCCTAGGGTCTATATTCCCTAAGAATCCGGGCCCGGACAACCTCATCAAGTTTGGATGGTCCGGACTGCATTGGAGGGTTTGGAGGACCGACCTCTGGCATGGGTGGCGTTAAGGATTCTTGGGGTTACGATAATATGTATATATATATATACATATGCGATAACAACTAACAATATGTATGTTCGAAGAATACCCTGTCTCATGAAGAAGCATTCCTGTTTGCCGTCGTCACCACCTACCATCTCAAGAGGTGGGTGGGAGGGTTCATGAGCCTGTGCCGTACACCGGAAAACGTGCGGCTGGGCATTGGCTACGGAAGGGCGGAAACCATTGGTTCTGCAGGGCACTTTTGAGGGTTGTATACATTGTGGTGCAGGGCACCTTGGTTCTTTTACATTGACAGTGGTCATTGTTGTTGACGGACGTGGTCGTCCAGGTTGAGAAGGAAGGGCTCCGTCTACCAATCACATTTGTGATTGGTAGCGGAGCCAGTCGCTCCATAGGGACCTGTCTGGACTTTGTTGCTTGGGGAAGCTTAGCAGAGCATGTCTGGTTCTGAAGGAGTTAGTGCTGGCTCAGGTTCCACGGAAACATCCGTGGGATCCCAATTGGCACAGCTTGTGCCCACCTTCGACCCGGGAGTCGACAGTGTTGAACAGTGGCGCCAGAAGATTCGATTGTTGATCCGTGCGTGGCCTGAGACCAAACTCAATGAATTGGCCACCCGCATCATTTTGAACACCAAAGGATCAGCATTATAGCAGCTTGAACTTCGTCAGAATGAAGTCATGACTGGCACTAAGGAAGGAATCTTGAAGATTGTAGAGATTGTGTCCGGCCAATTTGGCCAAGTTGATCTCGAGAAGAAGTATGAGGTGGTGGAGAAAGCAGTGTTTCGATGCCAACAAAAGCCGGATGAAACCGCAGACTCATTTGTGGCCCGCATGGACGTCGCATGGACTGAAATCGAGGCCAAACAGGTCAAGCTCAGCGAGATTCAGGCCTACGTGGTCCTTCGTGGCAGCCGTCTGTCCAGCGAAGACAAGAAGAGAGTTTTGGTAGAATCTGGAGCAGAAAGTGGCGGAACATTGACCATGGGCAAAGTCACTTCGGCAATTAGGCTTCTAGGCTCAGCTTTCTTTCAGGAGTACACCACTGGCAAGAAGGACAAAACGTTGAAAACATATGATCAGAGCGCATTCACGGCAGAAGAGCTGGAAGAGGAAGAAGACCTCTACTGGACCAATGCTGATGAGCAATGGGAGGACGACAACCTTGAAATGTTGGCCGCCAAGGACCCAGATGCTGCATTGGTGCTTCAGTTTGAAAGCCCTGTGAACGAAACGATTCAAGAAGATTCAGAATTGTCAGCCTACTACTCAAGCTATCAGGAGGCTCGCAAGAGACTTCAATAGAAAACAAAGAATCGTGGTTTTTGGAATTCCAAAGGTGGGTCCACTAAGGCTACTAAGGGCTATGGCAAAAAGGGGGTCAAGGGAAAGACTTCGAAGGGCAAGGGCTTCAAGACTCTCCAACAACGCATAGCTGAATCCCACTGCAGGATCTGTAACCAGAGAGGGCACTGGAAAGCCGAGTGCCCGATGAGAAGGTCCGCAACTCCTTCGGATGATCGCCCTCAGATTCCGACGTCGGCCGCCGTCGCGATCGACCTTGAAGAGATCCCCGAAGCCACGCACGAAGACTTGAAAGAGGACAGCCATCATGTGTGTTTCGGAACTGTTCATGAAAGGGCCAAGTCTTTTGGGGAAACGTTGAAAACAAACTCACCAAAAGAGACATCGCAGCACTTCGCTCCAGGAAGGCATTTTTGACTTCCACACCAGGTGAGATCCGTGCCGAAGGTTCCAAAACGGAAACCTTGAGCCCAGGCATTTCGAATGCAGCCGAAGAGAGCCAAGTGTTTTTGCATCCACTGGCACGACCGGGGTCGTGGACTTGGGAGCTTCACAAACAGTTATAGGTCATGAACAGTTGAAGGAACTCCTAGAACAACTACCAGAAGAAGTAAGAAAGCAAGTCAGAAAAACCACGTGCAACCTGTTGTTTCGTTTTGGCAACCACCAAACCCTGGAAAGCCGAACCGCAGTGCTCATCCCGATGCAAGGTGCTCGATTCCGAATTGCGGTTGTTCATGGCAAGACCCCATTTTTGATCTCCAGCCAATTAAAAATAAAAGGTACGTTGTGGAGCACGACCCTGAAACGACACCTGAAGATGGAACCTACTAAGAAGAATCTATTTCTGCTAGACATCAATCAGTTTTGGCAACCGCTTGAAGAGTCGTCATTTTTGCAGATGCAGGAGCACTCATGCACCAGCCGGCAGGTACAGCAGTCAAACCCGACTGACCAAAATCCGTTGCCGACGCCAGCAAAACACGACTCTCCAGCAGCAGCCAACTCATCGGAAGCCGAGTCGGTAGTGATTGGTAGACGTAATCTAAGTAACCAGGAAAACACACGTGAGGCACGAACCACCGAAGCTGCTTTGAAAGAAGTTGATGTCCCTCTCACCGGTCAGCCATCTAGCAGCAACGAGAGCTCGAGTCCAATCGTTCAAGCCCAATCCGTTGATCATCATGCCTTCCGACCTCTCCGCTCAGTTGTCCCGACTCCAGAAGTCCATGGAGAAAGGGGAAACGGAAAAGGACCTTCAGGAATTCCTGACTCTCCCAGTGGAGCAGATGGCCCTCCACAAGATCCAATTTGGCAAGGCAAAGCTCGGTATGACCTTCGAAAAGGCCTTCAACGACCTGGCATGGACCAAGTTCGTGACATCCAAATACGGAGACTCGGACAAGAAGGAACATCGCATGTTCGTGACCTATGCCCAACTCAGAA